AATAATTGGTGAAATATTTGCAGAAGATGCTGGGATGAGGATTTAATTCCAGATGAACAGTAGTGCTCCTGATTCCCTGTCTGTTTCCCACCCACGATCTCCTCTTTCCTTGTCCTACACACACCAAAAATAACTCAGTAAAATAAAAATAAAAATTTAAAAATAAAAACAAAAAAAAAAAAAAAAAACAAAAAAACTGGAAACGACCCCAATGTCCGCCACTGATGAGACAAACAACGCATGGTATCACCCATACAACGGTGGATCAGTAAGCCATGCACTGAAGCACTGGTACATGCTCTGCCTGGGTGAGCCTCGAAAACAATGTCTAGAGCCAGGGAGAGCAGGCACACACAAAGACTGTGAGGGTAGATTCCTTGTAGTGAAGTGTCCATAATAGGCATCCATAAAGACAAAAAGTAGATTCCTAATTGCCCAGGGCTGGGGGAAAGAAAACTTAAAAAGGTACTGCCTGCTAAGGAGGGATTTCTTCTTGGGGTAACAGATATGTCCTAGAATTCCATAGTTGGAATAGTGGCATAATCTTGTGAATATATTAAAAACAACTGAACTGTATACTTTAAGTGATAACTTTCATGTGAAATTTCATTACATGAGTCCTATCTCAATTTTAAAAATAAAGTAAGCAGAGAAAAATGTATTTAAAATACACAATTTCAGCTGCGCGTGGTGGCTCATGCCTGAAATCCCAGCACTTTGGGAGGACAAAGCAGGCGAATCAGGAGGTCAGGAGTTTGAGACCGGCCCAGCCAACATGGTGAAACCCTGTCTCTACTAAAAATACAAAAAATTGCCGGGCGTAGTGGCTAACACCTGCAATCCCAGCACTTTGGGAAGCCAACGTGGGCGAATCACCTGATGTCGGAAGTTTAAGACCTGCCTGGCCAACATGGTGGAACTCTGTCTTTACTAAAGATACAAAAAATTAACTGGGTGTGGTGGTGCATGCCTGTAATCCCAGCTACTCAGGAGGCCGAGGCAGGGGAATCGCTTGAACCCAAGAGGCGGAGGTTGCGGTGAGCCGAGATCGTGCCATTGCACTCCAGCCTGGGCAACAAGAGCGAGACTCTATCTCAAAAAAAAAAAAAAAAAAAAATCAGCTGGGCATGGTGGCACACCCCTGTAATCCCAGCTACTCAGAAGGCTGAGGAAGGAGAATCACTTGAACCCAGGAGGCAGAGGTTGCAGTGAGCTGAGATTGTGCCACTGCACTCCAGCCCAGGTGACAGAGTGAGACTCTCTCAAAAAAAACCCCCCAAAAACAAACAAACAAAAAAACAATTTCAACTGTGTAAAATGTACAGAAAGAACATAACCAAATCCTCATCTCTGATCTGGATGACTTTTTTTTTCCTGCTTCTCTATTCTTGCCTGTAATTTCTAAATTTTCTATCCTGACCATCTATTATTCTCTTCTCAGAAACAAAAGTTAATTATCCTTTGGGATATTATTCAAATGGAAGAATACATTTCTTTAGCACCAAGAGAGCATCCATAAAATATTTTCAAATGCCTAAGGGGGCTCCTCAGGTGAGGGAAAGCTACGTCCTGTTCAAGACCGAAGTCCTCATGCTGTAGCAGAGCTGGGAACCTGCCCCCCTTCCTCTTACACAGTCTCCCTAACACAGGTATTAAGCTGCTGGAAGACCAAGGTGTAGAGTGTGGCATTCTGGGTGGGCTTTCACGAGTAGTGAGCCTTTTGCAAACGCTTTTATGTTCAAATTGCAGGGTTGACAATTATACCTATATCGCTTCTATCTTTACAATGTAATTCTAAAAACCAGGTCAGTGTACCTGCATATTAAAATGACCCCATATGCCAAAGGAAAATTCTATTTCAAAAGGCAACTTATGTAATGATCAAGAGGAAGGGAAATCCAGCTGCATAAAATGAGAACTTTTTTTATTATAGAAAAAAAAAACCTCCCAGTCACTGGGACCTATTTCCCATCTAGTAAGCTGGATTAGCAGCTCACAGAGCCTGTCCCAATGCTCTCCTGACCCTGCCTGGTCAGAGGCCATGGGAGCTCAGCGGCTACTCCAGGGTGGGGCCTGTGCTCAAGGTGAAAGCTCATGCTCATCCTCAGGCAGATCCCTGTAGGGCTGAACCCAGTGCTGCACTATGTCTGCTTGAAACCAGGCAGAAGCATGGCCTGGGAAGGTCAGAGAGGAAAGCTAGCAAGAGGAAACAGGGGTTGCTAAAGCCAGCCTCATACTTCTCAGGAGAAACACATGATTCCTTCAACGGGATTTCTGTTCCCTATTTCCTTTTCTTTTTCTTTTTTTTTGAGATGGTCTTACTTTGTCACCCAGGCCAGAGTGCAGTGGTGCATTCGCAGTTTACTGCAACCTCCGCCTCCCAGGCTCAAGCGATCCTCCTGCCTCAGCCTCAAGGGTAGCTGGGACTACAGGCATGCGCCACCATGCCCGCTAAGATTTCCTTTTCTGACTTGCGCTTTCTTTAAGGCTATTTTTGTCTGTTTTGTGGCTTGTTATTTTCCTTTGTTACTAAAAAGAAATCAATATTGAATATGAGTTAGCAAGCAGGAGTACACATACTTTTGATTTGCCAGGTAGGAAAAGAGTGTTTCGTGATTTCAGTTTGCCCTTTATTTTAGTAAAGTTGTGAGTGAGCCCAAGTAGGCAGGACCTTGTGGTCTGGTCTCAAAATTGGGCTGCGCCACCACTGCCCTGCAGTCCAGTGCCTGAAGGACCAGCCCAATTCACCCGCCTCACCAACTCTGAGGCTAGCCTCATGGGACAAAGAGGGAATTCCACTGAAATCTCAGAGTTTTAGGACCAGGAGGGTAGGAGCCAGAGAAGGTGGCGGAGGTGAAGCGTGAACAAGTGAGCAGGATTCCAGGTCCAAGTCCCAGTCTGACTCCCCACTTCAGTCACAGTAGCTCAGTTTCATGTTTTTACACATTAGCTCTGTGACTCTGCATACATTTCAAATGAGTATAGCACCTACTTCCTGTGGTTGACAAAGCAGAGTAACTGACTGCAGGTAATTGCACCTATTACAGTGAGGGTTACCAAGCGGATGTTCAAAGCATGTTACCTATCGTTGTGTTCAGATTCTACATTCAATTTTCTTTCTCTTTGAGATGGAGTCTCTCTCTGTCACCTAGGCTGGAGTGCAGTGGCACAATCTCGGCAGGCACCCACCACCACACTCGGCCAATTGTTTGTATTGTTAGTAGTGACAGGGTTTTGCCATGATAGCCAGGCTGGTCTCAAACTCCTTACCTCAAGTGATCCTCCCCCCTCTGCCTCTCAAAGTGCTGGGATTATAGATGAGTCATTGCACCCAGCCTCTACATTAGATTTTGTCAGAAGAAAGGATTTGGAGATCACTGATTTGGCCATTTTAAAACAACTGAAAAGTAACTTTGCTAAATTTAAAGTACACAAAAAGTATGTAAATGCATTTGTATAAGAACATTTCCAAAAAACTATGCTTCTCTACCTACTCTCACTCCAACTTCCTTCCTAGAGACCACTACTGTTACTTCCGGACCTCTTTCTGACACATTTATGTACGTAAACATGCTTTTCATTTTTTCCATAAAAAAAATTATACCATATGTACCATAAAAGAAACTATCCCAAAGTGCTGGGATAACAGTCATGAGCCACTGCATCCGGCCCTCATTCTGTCACTTTTAAACTGCTATACAGTATCTCACGGTAGGGATATGCCACAATTTAACAGGGAAGGCAGTTCACCACGTTACATCAAGACCACAAGTCTTCTCTCTTGACTGCTGGTCCAAGGGTTCTGCCACTAAATCACTCTGCCTCTCTACTGTTACCAGCAGTTTTTTTAAAAAAACAAATCTAGTTTTAAAGAAAATTCAAAGGTATGATTCTCTCAACTTGGATTTCTTCTTCCCTCCCTCCTTTCTTCTTTCCCTTTCCATTCCAGCCTGCATGAGTTCTGTGTATACTTTGCATGACTCGAGGAGACAGTTGCATTCAAGGAACTCAAAGCCTGTGCATATGTAATGATGCAAACAGAAATTACTATAAAATAGTCACTTGGTTTCCCTGTGGAAAGGAAATCTAAAGAAAGCATACTGATGTGTTAGCAGGGATCCTGCGCCTCCAGAAAGAGGAGGTTTATTCCTTTGTTTCTTTTTTTTTTTTAGAGATAGGGTATCACTCTGTCATCCATCACAGCTCACTGCAGTCTCAACTCCTGAGATTAAGTGGTCCTCCCGCCTCAGCCTCCAGGTAGTTAGGACTACATGTGTGCGCCATCATGCCTGACTAATTGTTTTAAAGTTTTTTATAGAGATGAGGTTGCTATATTGCCCAGGCTGGTCTTGAACTCCTGGTCTCAAGCTATCCTGCCTTGGCCCCCCAAAGTGGTGGAATTACAGGTGTGAGCCACTGCATCGGGCCAAAAGGAGGAGGTTTCCAGAGAGAAATTTTGGACCTGGTCTCTGACTACACAGAGATGAAACATTTAACCAGCAGTAATATGTTCGACCTTTCCAATGGAGGCACACAGTTCCCAGACCTGTATACCTGGCTTTGGGGTTTTCAGAGACTCTCTGACCTAGTTTGCTCACCAGAGACGTTAAAAGGCAAACCCTAAAGTAAAAATATATCCCAATTGTAACCAAATCTGATAGCTGATGAAGTAATAAGGTATTTCTGACTGAGTAAGGCCTCTGACTCACAAAACTACTAGTCTGTAAAATGGGATCAATACTTAGAAAAAATGATGACAGGGCATTCTAAAAACATGAAGTACTGCATAACAAATAATAAATCCATTAAGAGTGATCTGTACCATCACTTTTCCTACCAATTCAGTGAAATCACTGGAATGAGGGATTAGGCGCTAAAGCGAATGGATAGAACTGCCATACAGTGAACGGGTGGAGTTGCCATACGGTGAAGTGCTGACGTGAATCCCAACCACCCAACCAACTGACTTCATGTCGAAGCCTCCCTTGGGAAGGTCTTACCAGGGTCCCATCTGTCAGGGTGCAGCCGGAGAAGCGTTTTGCAAGAAACCCCTCAAAGTTAGTTGTTCTCTGAATAGCAAAAAGAAGCAACTTCACTTCAATCTCCTTCGCTCTGGTCCGCATAATCTTGGCAAGTTCTGTCCTTCAAAACAAAGACATAAGAATACTATCAAATAAGCCGATCATTCATTCGAGGTAAGACAAAGTAAATGGCCTTGGCTTATATTCAGAGGAAAAAAATATATGTGGTCATTTGGAACCCTAAGGTCTGTTACCAGCTTAGTCTAAAACCTGGGGAATAGAAATACGTGTTCTAAACAAGAAGAGTTTTAAGGTGAAATTAGCCAGCAGGCAAAACAAATCAGGGGTTATGAGTGCTATTTTTTTTTTTTTTTTTTTTTTTTTGAGATGGAGTCTCCCTCTGTTGCCCAGGCTGGAGTGCAGTGGCATGATCATTGCAACCTCTACCTCCTGAGTTCAAACGATTCTCCTGTCTCAGCCTCCCAAGTAGCTGGGATTACACCACACCTGACTATTTTTTTGGTATGTTTAGTAGAGACAGGGTTTCACCATGTTGGCTAGACTGGTCTCAGTGGGCGATCTGCCCACCTGGGCCTCCCAAAGTGCTGGGATTACAGGTATGAGCCACCGCTAATCTGCTTCCATGATTACTACATTGCCTGTATCTTTAACCTGTTCAATAATTGGATAATAATACATATGGAACACCTAATTTTTTATTAGTGTATATAGCCTAGATAATTTCACATGAATTACTGAATAACAAAGCCCTCCCTCCTTCTGAGGGCCCAATAATCATCTCTTCAACTAGACAGCAAGAGCCCTGGAAATGTATGCCAGGGACAGGAATCCCTGTGAGAAAGTGCCAGCAGGCTTAGCTGGCCCCTGCCTGAGGCACTCATGTGCAGCTCTCTCAAGTATTACGTTTCAGAAGGTCAGCTGCTAGTGAACAGCAACATTTGAGTTCTTAGTAAGGACTAAGCTATCATCATCTTCCCACAAAAATACATGACAAAATCAAACCAAGGGTCTCTGAGTTTGAGAATGATGTATCTGTAGGATTTTAGCCAAAATTCTAACAATAGAAGCTTGACAGCAACACCGCATTAGCTAAGACAACAAGAGCAGGTACAGGTGCTGACAGAGACAGTGGGCTCTAGCATACGCCCAATCTCTTTCAAGCTTCATTCCTCACAGAGCTGCTTTTCAAGTCTGCTGAACTGTGGGCTAAAAAGAATTAGCTAACAGTTTCTCAAGGAACTCACTCTTTATTTTGCTAACTGGGATTCAGAAGGTGACAATCTCAACTGATCCTAAACCAGTGCTAAAAGGTTCTCTAAATCTACAGGAGTCAATGTGTTTCTTTTTCTTTCTTTCCTTTTCCTTTTTCCTTCCTTCCTTCCCTCCCTCCCCCCAACTTTCTTTTTCTGAGAAGGGTCTCACTCTGTCTCCCAAGCGCGAGTACAATGGCATGATCATGGCTCACTGCAGCCCTGACGTCCTGGACTCAAGCAATCCTCCCACCTCAGCCTCTCTAGTAGCTGGGATTACAGGTGCTTGGCAACATGAACAGCTAATTTTTGTATTTTCTATAGAGACGGGATTTTGCTATGTTGCCCAGACTGCTCTCAAATTCCTAGGCTCACATGATCCACCTGCCTTGACCTCCCAAAGTACTAGGATTATAGGCATGAACTGCCGAGCCTTGCCCAATGTGTTTCTTACAACAAGAGCCACGAAGAACGGAGCTGAGTGCACCTGTAGCTACAGCTGCTGCTGCTCAGGTGGCTGAAGCAGGCAGGTTTCTTGAACCCAGGAGTTCAAGGCTGTAGTGCGCAATTACCACATCTGTGAGCAGCCACTGTACGCCAGCGTGGGCAACACTGCGAGACGCCTGTCTGAAAGCCACAGACTGCTAACACCAAGTGTGAACACTGGCATGAACTGCAGACCATCACTCTGCGCAGACTGTGTGCTGACACAAAGCGTGAACACTGGCATGAACTATGGACCATCGCTCTGGGTGATGATGGCATGTCAGTGCAGCTTTGCCAGCTGTGACAGATGCACCACTCTGGCAAAAGGTGCCAACCACAGAGGGACTCGGCAAGGGGCAGGAACACACTGGACTCTCTATCTGCTGCCCCACTCTGCTGTGAACCTAAAACTACTCTAAAAATAAAATCTACTTTTAAAAAAGCCAGTATCCCTTAAAACATATTTTCCCCACAATGTGTTTACAACATGCAATTTGACTGTACTTTCCACGATTTTAATAAAAACAGACCACCATGAATTATGGTAAGGTGGTTGAGTTATGCTTACATATGGGCTTTTTTCTCTTATTAACCTGGAGTTAAATGTAACTGTGTACTACTGGGAAAAAATAAATAACTAGTAAGAACCAGTTACCAATACTGTTGTAGTATAGCTAGAAATAAAGAATTAAGAAGTTCAAGACCAGCCTGAACAACAGAGCAAAATTCTGTCTCTACAAAAAACACACACATAAAAATTAGCTGGTGTGGTGGCACACACCTGTAACCTCAACTACTCGAGAGGCTGAGGTGGGAAGATCACTTGAGCCTGGATGTCAAGGCTGCTGTGAGCCATGATCATGCCACTGCACTCCAGTCTGGGTGACAGAATGAGACCCGGCTTAAAAAAAAAATCTAACTCTGGCTTTAGCTTTGAGCTTTGTCATGGACACACGGATCTGATCTTCCCGGGCTTTAGCGTTTTTTAATACAAAGCGACTATCTGTCCTTGGGCTACACTCACAGATACTGTAGAGACAATGAATGAAAGAAGGTCATTAAAATGCTTGGAAAGCTCAGACACAGGCTGGGTGCAGTGGCTCACGCCTGTAAACACAACACTTTGGGAGGCCAAGATGGGCGGGCAGATCACCTGAGGTCAGGAGTTCAAGACCAGCCTGGCCAACACAGTGAAACCCCACCTCTACTAAAAATACAAAAATTAGCCAGATGTGGTTACACGCACCTGTAATCCCTGCTACTTGGGAGGCTGAGGCATGAGAATCACTTGAACCCAGTAAACGGAGGTTGCAGTGGGCCGGGACAGTGCCGCTGCAGCACTCCAGCCTGGGTGATAGGGTGAGACTCTGTCTCAAAAAAAAAGCTCTATTAACTATCCAGAGGCTATACACACTGTATTAGGAATGGGAAATTCATTCAACAAATGTTTCCTCAGTGTCTGCTGTATCATTAAAGTAAATACTACGCCTGACTCAAAAGAACTATCTATCTAGCAAATCAGAAAATAAAAACGATGACGGAATATATACACAGCACACGGATACATGCGAAACCGATTAGGGGAAAACGTGGGGTAGAAGAATCACTATAGGTCGATCCAGTTGATAAGCCTTCAGTTGGTGAAGGTAGACTGAGGCAAGAACCACACCAAAGGAAAGTCCCAGAGCAAAGACGGGAGCAGATGGCAGCAGCCGGGGGCCACAGTTGGGTATGAGGATGGTATCAATCATCTGGTGGGGTCTGGAAGTGGCACTGAATCCACAGGACAACATGGAACCACTAGAGTCTGGGGGACTGATGGTGAAAATTCCATTAACAACAGAACCAGTAGAGAATTGGCATCTACCTTGTCACATGGCAAAATTCTACTGCAATCCTCTCAGCCATGTACCACTCACGTGGAAACATGCGGCCGTATTTCTCCTCATAGTCCACAAGCTGGCGTTTTATCCAGGCGTAGCGTCTGTCGATCTTGTCCAGCCAGGCAACCTGGTGAAGGTGGGGAACAGAAACCACCCCATGGTTAGAAGCAGAACTAGAAATTTAAGAAAACAAGCAAACACAGAGCCAAGCAAAAGGGAACCAATCTCTGTACTTCTCATGACTTTAAAGAATCTGGGCTGCCTTTTTAACTTGATTTTTAACTTCAAAATCCAGAGGTTTTTAACCTAGGGTCATGATTGGGCTTCAGGGGTCTATGTATTTCCAAACACTATCTGCAGAGTATTATGCACAGGTGCATGTTTCTGAATTTCTCCAAGGGGTCAGTGACCTCGAAATGATTAAGAACTATCAAGTCAGCCCCTAGGGCTCACGGCTCAACAATCAACACTGTGAGACAGGAATGCTAACATAAAGTCTAAATCAGTAGGCTTGACAGCATTCATTTCTCAATAAAATTCAAATATTACATCTGATCTTATTTGGTCAATACTTACATCTTGGTTTTCCTGAAAAAGTACTAGATACTCTGACAGATGCTGTTTAATAAACTTTTTCATGATCTCCTGCTTGATTCTGGGGTCTAGAATATTAGCAACCAGACACGCATCTCGTAGAACATTGCTGGGTCCTCCCGGTCTCTAGTAAAACAAACAACATGTGCCAGGTTAAAAGCCAGAAACACCCTTTAACCCTCACGGCTTCTCACAGTTGCTACTTCCTGTGTCTACATATTGTTGGTCTTATTCCTACTCCTCTGACACTCATTCTTCCTACTGTGAATGGATATGTCAGTTGCTTGTTCCTCGATGAAGGAATCATTACACTAGCTTTATAGCAGCCAACATAAAACTACCATGTGAATCTGCAGTGTTATATTTTGGATAACAGGACAAGCAATGATCATGGGAAATTTCATTTTCTGCATACCAAAACTGAAAGAGACCTAAAAGTCAGAATGCCACCAGTCTCTGACGTTAGAAGGCGCCACTGAAGAGGCCTAAGAGCTGGAATGCCACCAGTCTCACTCCTAAGAGCTGAAATGCCCCTGTCTCACTCCACATGTACCACCTTTCCCTGATTCCAACCTCTGGAATTCATGTTCTTAAACTGTTATATTTTCCACAAATAGTGTGGTCGCCTTTAACATATAACACCAGGTTCCAAGCTACTATACTTGTTTCACTGATAGTGAACCACCTAGAAAGGCAGCCAGAGAGCAAATCCTGTGAAATTGGCCTCCTGACCTGAAAGAACACTGAAAAGATAACCAGGGGCTGAATTGACACTTCATGGTGGGAAGGTCTTTGTTACCAATGGCAATTCAATGACCAAAGTTATGCTGAGACTTTCTTTATGGTACGTCACTAATGACCGTGTCTAGCTAAGTCGACTACAATAAAAAGAACACTTGGAACCTACTCTTAGCCTGGCTAAAAAGCCATACACGTAGCTTTGGCACACTTACTCGACCTCATCTGAAAAATAATAGACCTGTAGCACCTGTAGTCCCAGCTACTCGGGAGGCTAAGGCAGGAAAATAATTTGAACCCTGGAAGTGGAGATTGTAGTGAGCTGAGATCACACCATTGCACTCCAGCCTGGTGATGAAGCAAGATTCTGTCTCAAAATAAAAACACTCAGGCGCAGTGGCAGGCACCTGTAATCCCAGCTACTCGGGAGGCTGAGCAGGAGAAACACTTAAACCGGGGCAGGGGTAGGGGGCCAGAGGTTGCAGTGAGCCAAGATCATGCCACTTCACCCCAGCATGGGTGAAAAGAGCAAAACTCCATCGCAAAAAGAGAAAAAAGCACTGAATTGGACAGCTGAGTACACGTGAAGCTAACCCTGTCCTAACAAGAGCCCCCTGCATCTCTTTTTTGAGATGGAGTTTCGCTCTGTCACCTAGGCTGGAGGGCACGATCTTGGCTTGCTGCAACCTCCGCCTTCCAGGTTCAAGCGATTCTCTTGCTTCAGCCTCCCAAGTAGCTGGGATTACAGAAATATGCCACCACACTCGGCTAATTTTGTATCTTTTTTTTTTTTTTTTGGAGACGGAGTTTTGCTCTTGTTACCCAGGCTGGAGTGCAATGGTGTGATCTCGGCTCACCGCAACCTCCGCCTCCTGGGTTCAGGCAATTCTCCTGCCTCAGCCTCCTGAGTAGCTGGGATTATAGGCATGCACCACCATGCCCAGCTAATTTTTTTTTGTATTTTCAGTAGAGACGGGGTTTCACCATGTTGACCAGGTTGGTCTCGATCTCTCGACCTTGTGATCCACCCGCCTCGGCCTCCCAAAGTGCTGGGATTACAGGCTTGAGCCACCGCGCCCGGCTTAATTTTGTATCTTTAGTAGAGACAGGGTTTCTCCATGTTGGTGAGGCTGGTGTTGAAGTCCTGTGAATATCCCCACAATCCCTTTTTACGTCTTTGACCTTCACTTTCCTCATGTAGGAAATAGGATAAATGGCTTTCCGAGATCTACTCCCTCCCTGCAGTTATATGAGATGACTAAGGTATGCGAGGTTCTCAAGGAAAAGTGCTTTACAAGTAAGCATCTGATCACCAGCAGACAACCGCAGAGTGTGAAGACATTCAAATCAGGAGCGGGCTTCCTAGAGAAAGTGATCTGCAAAGGCTGAGACAGCTACTCCCATCTGCTTCCTATGTTTCTTTCATGGAGCACAAAGGAAAAAGGATTCAGTATTTCCAGTTACTGAATTACAGAGCAGATGCAAGAAACGTTCCTCGGATCAGTAAATGAACGTATATCCCCATCTCCACCTGCCAAGGAGGGCGAGGAAAGCTCCTTGCCCCTGTGTGCTTCAGTGTATTTCTGCCTTGAACAATTCTCTCTCTGTAGTTCAAATGACAGAGAAGAAAGCCTGTATGGGTTCTTACCTGTCCGATACATGCTAGGCATTAAGATGGCTTCTGCTACAGTCAGAAAGATGGAGCTAAAAGCAGTTACCCAAGCATGATGACAGCCAAGTGAGAGAAAGCTGGGTACGTGAGAAGGGCAACCAAGCGCTCACAAGTGAAATGCTGTGGGCTCTGCAGACACCAGGCAAATAGCTCTGCTACCAGTGAGAGCTCAAGGGCAGTAATTCCAAAGGACAGGCTGATGATCGTTAACAGTGAGGCCACTAACGGTGTCACTCCCAGAGTTACATAAGCCGGTGGATGCTCCTCCCAGTTGTCTTTTCACCAGACCAAAACCAGTAAGTTATGTAACAATCCTAAAAAACACTGCGGCATGAAGATTTCTAAAAAATACAGCCATGAGAAAAAGGAACTGACAGGGCAGACACGATAGAAGGTTTAACATGCATTAAATTAAGCCCAAACAAATCCTCACTTTCTGAGGCTGGCAGTAGACAGACGAGGAACGGCCACCACTTTGGGACATTTAAAAATCAAGGATGGTCTCATTGCCCTGAACCTGCAGCAGAAAGCTCTGCAGCTGCCAGCAAACACGATGGGAATGAAACTGCATGTGACTGTGGTAGTGTGAACACAGCAAGGGCAGTGATTATCTCTGACGACTGGGGGAAACGCAAAGCTGTACCTTAGTGCCCTGGGAAGGAAATGCTTCTTCAAAATCGGCCAGGATTTGCTGTCCTAACTCAGTCTGCGCGGCCTTCACTCTGTGAGGGAGAGAGAACGTATCATCATCTGGCATGATATCCTGAAGTAACTGTGCGCTGATCCACAGGGTCGAACAGCTAAAGTCTTTAGAGAGAGGCCAGGAAGGATACAGAGACGTGCACGAGTTGAGAGGTCACACACTAGCTGAGTGGCAGATTAAAGGCCAAGAAGGATACAGAGACATGCACGAGGTGAGAGGTCGCACGCTAGCCGAGTGACAGGTTGATGAGCAGACTCAGGCATCCAAGGTATTCTCCAAGGTATTCTCAGGTTGAATTTTCTACATCCCCAAAATTCTTCTAGGCCAACCCTTTACCTGAGGTTAATTTTTCTACAATTCTATTAGAGGGTAGTTATGCTGTGGGAAAATGTTACAGAATCACATCCAAATCAAATATAAATATAGCTGGGTACAGTGGCTCATGCCTGGAATCCCAGCATGTGGGAGGCTGAGGTGAGAGGATCACTTGAGGCCAGGACTTCAAGACCAGCCTGGGCAACACAGAGAGATCCAGTCTCTACAAAAAACAAACTAAAATAAAAAGTACCCAGGTGTGGCAGCACACACCTGTAATCGGGAGGCTGAGGTGGGGGGATCTCTGGGGCCCAGGACTTTGAGGATACACTGAGCTATGATCACACCACAGTGCTCCAGCCTGGGTGACAGAGCAAGACCTTGGCTCTAAAACAAAACAAAACACTAACAAATGACAAAAAAATATAAATCTATTTTGGATTGCTGATATAATTGTTCTCCTACTCCTTGGAGTACAGAATGGGAAGAGGGCTCCATGGTGTTTTAGGGTGTTTTTAAAAAAATTATGTCTGAGGTACGTTAAGTGACCCAAAAAAAAAAATTACTATGGGTATGTAATCACTGCATATATTTATGGGGTACCTGTGAAGTTTTGATATAGGCATACGACATATAATGTTCAAATCAGGGTAATGGGTATCCATCATCCCAAGTTATGTGTTACTTCTTTGTGTTAGGAACATTCCAATTCCAATCTTTTAGTTATTTTTAAACATACAATAAATCACTGTTAACTGCAGTCACCCCACTGTTCTACCAAATCCCAGCTCTCACCATCCTAACGGTATGTGTACCCACCAGCCACCCCCACTGTGTCCCCAGCTCTCATCATAATGGCATGTGTACCCACCAGCCATCCCCACTGTGTCCCCAGCTCTCATCATCCTAACGGCATGGGTACCCACCAGCCATCCCCACTGTGTCCCCAGCTCTCATCATCCTAACGGCATGTGTACCCACCAGCCATCCCCACTGTGTCCCCAGCTCCCAGCTGCGCCTCCCAGCCATGGCGACCACCATTCCACTGTCTATCTCCATGAGCTGACTTTTTCAATGTCTGGCTCCCACAGATAAGTGAGAACAGGAGACATTTGTCTTCTTGTGTCTGGTTTATTTCATTCAACATAGTGTCCTCCAGTTCCATCCACGTTGCTGCAGTGTTTGGGGTTTTTGTTAACCCAGAAACCTACAAGCTCACAAGTTTTTAAACAAATGAGTGAAAAGAATGTTTTCTATAGCAAAAAACAAAGAGCCAAGTGACAAAATGAACTGCTAAAGGAAAGTGAGGGCCACTGAATAACAATTCAGGTTCAGAAGTTTGTGAATATGAAAACCGAACTGCGAGGAAAACCAGTTAGAAAGGGAAGGCTCAGGCCTAGTGGCTGCGTGTACACTAGGAGCTCAAGAACTGTTTGTCGACTGGAATGCAAGAGCAGAAAGCAGCGGCCAGGATCCCGCCCCGCAGTCGATCCCACCCTCTCTGCGTCCCCCACCAGCTGCCCGACATAGGTGGCCGCCCTGCACCGCCAGTCCAGTCTTGCAGAGTTGGAGTGGCATGACACTCTCCGGCCCCACTGGACTTCCTGAGCCTGAGGCAAATAACTGTCTGCTTGCTAAAAGTACCACAGAAGAACACACTTCAATTCTTGGTCTCTACCCTGTTCCTTCAGAATTAATGTTATGAAGTTTCTAGAAAGAGCGGACAGCTCAAAACCGCAATTTCTTTGGCTACTAAGGAGTGTCTGGCAACTGCTGACATGTTTTTTTTCGAATGAGGGGATAGGCATGACCCAAAAAAGTCTGTTTTTCTGTGGCATGGTTATAATTACACCTTATTCCAAATACTTTCCAAGGTTTTTCCAGTATCTTCAGAACTTTGTAAACCACTCTTATAGGTGGGTTTGTAGTAGCCTTTTTATTCAGTTCTCAAGGGGGCCAGAAATAGCCCAGATGAGGCTATTACTGGAACTGCCCCCACCTCCATTCAGAACCAGGGCCATTCATCTAGAGCTGCCCCCCAGGCAATGGGAAACATTCCCCAAGTGTGAACTTTGACATGGGAGAAAAGAATAAAATGGCACTTCGGAGCATCCTGTGACTCCCACATCATGAACCAGCACATAGCCTCCTGTGGTGCCAGGTCCCAAGAACGCTTCCAGAGGCTCAGGCCCCTCTGCTCCTGCCCTCTTCATGGAAGCAGACAGACAGCACCCGTTCCCTGCTAAACCACAGGGACTCCTGAGGGGAAGCCCCGGCCAGCCAGAGCACTCAGTCACATTCTCAGGGCTACTGACTATCTCAGTGACACTGATGGGCTTGGCTCTGCCTGTGGCCCCAGCTATTCCCTACTCCATATTCTTGTTGACTCCGAAAAGAGTCACCAGAGTGGCAGAAAGGAGAACCAGAGCCTATGATAGCACTTGGTATCACCAGAGCAAAAAAAAAGAGGAAAAATTCCCAGTCTCTGATTTGTAGACCTCCTTGCCATGGTCTTCATCTTCAAAGTCACCTCTTGAAACAGGCTAGACCTGGCTACGTTATAGTGAGCTAGGTAATCCCAAGTCACTTCCTCTCTGTGGGTCACAACTTGCAACAGCTGTGAAATAAGAAGGTGGGGCTCGTGGCCCATACAAGATGATTCTGTATCCTCACCAGTACTGATTATTCCACAACATCCATCTTACAGTGTTAGCTGACTTTACAGGTGGCTCTGGGTTAGAGGTATGTTTAATCCTGGAGCAGAAGGATACGCCTCTGCATATAAATGTCAATGTTTCCAACAGCAGTTTTTGAAGTGGCTATCAATGACCCGGATGAAAGATCCAACCATTCCCTTACAGACATCACTGATGGTCTCTACAGACCCAAACCTCAATCCCATGCATTTTTAGGGTGAGACGCGAATTGTAGTCCTTATAATCAATTGCTTAAACAGTACGCTAGAAAGAAGTCAACAGACTTAAAATGACTATACCTTTAGCTTCATTCCTTTAAACTCCGTCCTCTTCTAAACATGAAAAGTTCCTACCATAAAGAGGCAGCTCAACTGGTAACTGTCAGCAGAGCGAATATATGTGCTGAACCACCAAGATTTCCTAGTAAATAAAGGAATGACTAGGAACCTGGAGGTTGCGGTAAGCTCAGATCGCACCATTGCACTCCAGCCTGGGTAACAAGAGTGAAACTCCATCTCAAAAAAAAAAAAAAAAAAAAAAAGAAAAAGAATACAACTGGGAGTAGGTATAGTGGCTCATGCCTATAATCCCAGCACTTTGGGAAGATGAGGTAGAAGGAATGCTTGAGCCCAGGAGTTCAAGACCTTGGCAATGTAGGAAGACCCCGCTTCTACAAAAAAGTTTTAAAAATTAGCCAGGCATGGTGGTATCTACCTGTGGTTCCAGCTACTCAGGAGGTGAAGGCAGGAGGGTTGCTGGAGCTCAGGAGTTCCAGGTTGCAGGGAGCTATGATTGCACCACTGCACTCCAGCCTGGGCAACAGAGCAAGACTCTCCCTCAAAAAAAACCCAAAAAACTGATCTTACTAGTTTTACTAATCTACAAGGGAAATGAAAACCAAAGGAAATGGATACCATTTTCAACCATCAGATAGATAAAAATGAAGAACAGTACCAAGTATTGTTGAGGGTATAGGGAAATGGTACTCTCATACTACAAGTATACAAAGCTTTGCTGGAGGGCAAATGGGCAGTAGTTACTAAAATTTTAAATGTATATAAACCTGGAATCTGTCCTAGAGAAATACTTGTGTATGTACAAAAGGGGACATATTTTAAAAATCAGAAAAAAACCACCCAATGCTATCAAAATGGTTTAATAATCTGTGCTATGTTATTCTATGGGATTTTATCAAAATGGTTCAATATTCTGTGCTATGTTATTCTATGGCATTTTATCAAAATGGTTCAATATTCTGTGCTATGTTATTCTATGGGATTCTATCTAGCAAAATGGTTCAATAATCTGTGGTATGTTATTCTATGGGATTCTGTGCATCAGCTCCAGAGAACAAAGCAGGTCTATACACTACTGATAAGAAAAAAAAAGCATCTAAAATACATGTTGAAAACAAGAAGCAGTTTTTAGAACAAAGTATAAGGTAAGAAACCATTGATTTAAAACAAAACAAAGCAAAACAAAACTATTAACTGAAACTACAGATTTATGTAAATACACACATAAAAATTTGGAGCAATATCCATTAAACCGGTAACACTTAAAACCCCTGGGGAGAACAGTGGGATTCTGAGGTCTACCTAAAGGGAACTAGGATTCATCTGTATATGCATTTGACCTTTTTAAACAAGAGAAAACGTGGAGCCAGGTGCAGTGGCTCATGCCCGTAACCCCAGTGCTCTGGGAGTCCAAGACCAGCCTGGGCCACAGAGCGAGACCCTATCTCTACAAAAAGGTAACAGAATTAGTCAGATGTGGTAGTGTATGCCTGTAGTCCCAGCCACTTGGGAAACTGCGGTGGAAGGATCAGCTGAGCCCAGGAGCTCTCCAAGCTGCAGTGAGCAATAACTGTGCCACTACCCTCCATCCTGAGTGACAGAGTGAGACCCTGTCTCTATTTTTAAAAAATTTATGTGTATTACTTACATAATTACAGATAGGGAAACTTAAGGAAAACAAAGAAGCCTGTAGCAGTCAGACCTTATTAAAAAGGCATCAAAAATGATGGCTGCTGCTAAGTAACAATCCCTTCATTTCTTCTTTGCAGCAAGGTTAGCTGCAACTGTGATGGTCTCTGCCTTCTCAGTGCTCTACTTGTCCCTACTTCCAGTAGAAAAGGCACCGAGTCAACTACTCATCCTCCTTTAGAATCCTCATTTTCCTTCTCTCTGAGTAACTACATTCCTTTCCACTGGATCTGAATCTGGGATTAAAACTCAACAGCAATAAGAAGGAAAGAATAAGGTTGGAGAGAAAGTCATCTTTTTATCATATCTGAAGTTTCAGTGGCTCACCATATTTTCTTTCTTTCTTTCTTTCTTTTTTTTTTTTTTCCTCTGAGATGGAGTCTCACTCTGTCACCCAGGCTGGAGTACAATGGCGCGATCTCGGCTCACTGCAACCTCCACCTCCCAGGTTCAAGAAATTCTCCTGTCTCAGCCACCCTCCCAAGTAGCTGGGACTACAGGTACATACCACCACGCCCAGCTAATTTTTTGTATTTTTAGTAGAGACAGGGTTTCACTATGCTAGCCAGGCTGGTCTCAAACTCCTGACCTCAGGTGATCCACCCGCCTCAGCCTCCCAAAGTGCTAGGATTACAGGCATGAGCCACTGTATTTTCTAAAGACTGCCACAGCAATCTACCCCATCCCACATGCTTTTTGTAACAACGTGACTTTGACATTCCTCCCGTTAGGGGTGTGGGAGAAGACTATGTTCCTTCCTCTTGAATCTTAGCAGGCTTGTGATCATGGCAGAAATGATGCTATGAAATTTCCAAGGCTTGGTTCTCTTGGGATGCTCATTCTTGGAACCAGCTATCTTACCACGAGGAAGTCTAAGCAGCCCATGGAAGACAACAGATTCCGACCCACAGCCTGGCTGAGCTCCCAGCTGAGAGCAAGCACCAACCTGCCAGCCATGAGAGCCGGCCAATACATTCTCCAGTTCCCCTCTTGAGCTGCCTCAGCTCTGCATGGAGCAGAGATGAGCTGGTCCCCTCAGCCAGACCAAATTACATGTGCAAAACAATTAATGTTTTAAGCTACTAAGTTTTGTGCTGGTTTGTCACAAAGAAATAGATACCTGGAACAGTTTCTCTCACAAATGGGGATAACTGTAACCCTCTAACATAGGCAGCTACAGAAGACATGGTGAGGGGTATTGTCGGGGGACACCTGCACCACACAGAGTTAGATCAGGCAGCATCTGAAGTTCCTTCATACAGTAAGATTCTGCAGTGAACATGCTGCGCTAAGTGCTTAAGCACTTCAGAGCTCCAGATCCTTTTCTGACAACGAGATCATTTCCTCCAGTGACAGCTTACCTTTCAGAAAGCTGCCGGATCTGTGGAATCCCCATGTACTTGTGGAAGTGCTCCAGGACATTCATTACACCCTGAAGGAGATTAGCAACTTCTCCATATTGTCTTCGCCTGGTCATGGCTCTGCAAGGAAATAATGCGTTTAAAGGTCTAGAAAAACACTAAGGACACAAGATACAGATATAGAACGACCTACTCAAGCTCTGAAACAGACATCAACTCAGTTTAATCAACATTCACTGAGCACTGAATACGTAAGGTGCTGTGCACTGGGGGAGGAAAAGTATAGGATATGGTCCAAATCCTCTAGGTGACATCACATAGTAAGGGAGAAAGTCAAGTACACATCTAACTAGTATCAAATAGGATGAACCATGTTCTAAACAGAGTGACAAGTTATGTGCTATGGTGGATACAAAGGAATGCATGGGTGATGAATTCTCCTTAGGTGTTGGGAGGGGAATCTGGGAAGACTATAGATTTAGAATTTGGACTGGATATTATGGGACTAGCAAGCTTTGGACAGAGAAGAGGGGTAGGGATGTTACTATCTGATGATTACAGCCTATGAGCAAACCAAACCCATCTGGGCAGGCAGGGTGACTCACACCTGTAATCGCAGCACTTTGGGAGGCCGAGGCAGGCAAATTACGAGCTCAGGAGTTCAAGACCAGCCTGGCAAACATGGTGAAACCCCCATCTCTAATAAAATACAAAAATTAGCTGGGCATGGTGGCACGTGCCTGTAATCCCAGCTACTCTGGAGACTGCGGCAGGAGAATCACTTGAACTCAGGAGGTGGAGGCTGCAGCGAGCCTAGATAGGTCCATTGCACTCCAGCCTAGCCAACACTGTGAGACTCCAACCCCCCCAGCCCCTACTACCCCAGCAAAAAAAGGGCATGCCCTTACCTATGAACTCCAGTCTGTAGGTTCTGAGGCATCTGTGTCACTGACCTCTGCTTTCCCTACTGCTAAGGTTAACGAAGCTTAAATAAAAGGATGCTGATAAAATCAAGTAACACAAAGGGAGGAAGGAATTATAAACTATCAGATCTAAATTTTTCATCAAGGTTGGGCTGTTTAATTAAATTTGTAATTTATTATTTTCCTTAAGAGGTACTGAAAAAGGATCCAGTTTGAGCCAAGGTGCTAGGATGCTACCACTGCCTGATCCGATGGTTTGGTGGACAATGCAGACCACTTGAGGAAGGAACAAATGAGACTGCCCCCTGGTCTCCCTCTGGCTGCTGCTCTCACTGCTTACAGGAGGGTGGACCAGGGTCCCTGGAACTCATACAATGCCTAGCAGAGGTCAGGAAGGGGCCTGCCCCTCCTCCTCTTTCCCTCAAGGCACTCTCACATTCCTAGCACCCAGGAAGTTGAATGTTGTATCTCAGTTTCTATGAAGACATGCTTTCCCCCGTACACACGTGGAATCACCCTCAGGCCACAGAGGTGAGCTGGAGTGGCAGAATCTTGCTAGCAAAGGAGGCTTTAGATTGCTTCTTTGTAGTAAATAACCAACTCTTCCTACTGTTCTCATGTACCATTCCCTCTACAAGCCAAACAGAAAGCTACTTTTCAAAAAGTAGATTGAAAAAAAGAAGTGGTTTGAACGATTCAAAGTTCTGTCTCATACGGTCTCTTCTATGACAGCGCAACTCAGCCCAATACAAGCAGGAAGCCTGCCGAGGCAGAAGCCGCAGCGAGTGATGACAGGCCTGAGTCACTGTCTGCCCTGATGGTACAGAGCGAGAACCTGAAGATAAGCCACACTCCTGGAGTCATTCTGAACGCCTTCCTGGGTCCCCTTCAGACTGGCTGCCAGCCTTTGTTAGGTTGTGAACACCAGAGGGCACAAAGCAAAAATGGTGACTGAACAATTGAAGCCAATTTGCAGAAACTGGGGCAGGGTGGTGAGACCTTCCTGTCTGAGAAGTCAGTGAGCCCACAATACATTCTCTCTATGTGATACATTTCCCATGGCCCCAGCAGAGAAAGCTGGCAGTGCTTACTCGAGGGAATCGACGCCTCCTGCCAACATGTGCAAGTGGTTCAGTGTTGTGATCGAGGTGGTCAGGTGGCGTTTCGCGTGATCTAACTGTTTAATATCACGGGTGATTTCTTTCACCTAAACATTGGAAAACCACAAGAAAGGAAGAAGATTGAGAAAGATGTAAACAGTTTTGTAAGTAGCTCCACAAGAAACTAATGCAGATGAAGCAGGGAAAAATCTCAGGTTAGCAAACATTCTCACATTACAAAATCAAAACAATTTCCAAGCAGGCATTTAAATGTAATGTGGCATCTCTCTGGACTTTGCTCGGGGTTATAAAACCTTTAGTTGTGAGCATGAAATAAACTTTATTTTTTACCCCAAATGAAATGATCCAAACAGCAACTCAGTACTGAACATACAGGACAGAGGTGGCAAGCACAGTGCATTTCCTCCTAAGCGAGGTGAGAAGAGGCTGCCTTCTGGTGCTGAAGCTGCGCATCAGTCAGTACACGGTACTCAGACGGTCTTTATTAATGGAATAAGGGCCTATGGCCTGGTTCCAGCAAAGAAAAGACTTACTCTCAAATCTCAAAACGACTGAAATATAACCCCAGTAACACATGCTTAACATGTAAGGTACCAAGACGGGAGAGCAGACTTCAGGGGGTGAGAAGGCAATTTGGAGAACAAGGTCCTGACAGCGTTGTTTCAGCAGGTCCAAGAGAAAAGACACTATCTCTGGGGATGCAAGTGTATTTCAGGCACTAGGAAAGCATATTCAATAGACAAGTGGGAAACCCACCACTTTACCAAATACTTGAATTTGGGGGAAAAAAAACAACCAGGAGTGGTATAATAAACTAGATATAGAAAACAGAAGACCGGCCCTGTAATCTCATCACCCACTTCCAACTCTGAGATAATCATCCTATTTCCTACAAAAACATCTCTGTACCTCTTTCTGGGTTTCTTAGCTTCAGTCCTAACATCAGGGGTCTTTATTTATTTATTTTTTTTGAGATGGAGTCTCGCTCTGTCACCCAGGTTGAAGTGCAGTCGTGTGATCTAGGCTCACTGCAGCCTCTACCTCCCAGGCAAGTAATTCTGTGCCTCAGTCTCCAGGGTGCCTGGGATTACAGGCATGCACCACGATGCATTTTTGGATGCTCATTTTTGGATTTTGCCATGTTGGCCAGGCTGGTCTTGAACTCCTGGCCTCAAGTGATCCACCCTCCTCTGCCTCCCAAAGTGCTGGAACGACAGGTGTCAGCCACCGTGCCAGGCCGCATCGGGGGTCTTTAACCACTGTGTTTGAAGTCATAGTCATCTATGACTCTTCCTAGTCCCCGCATCAGTAAGTCATTAAGTCCTAAAAACTCTTCTGCGTCATTTCCTATTGCCTTTCTTTCTCTTCCTTGTTCAGCCCGTCACTGCTCTGCACTGCAGCTGACTGGTCTCTGTTCCCAGGATCTCCCATCACTCCCCGTCCCACAGCCTGTGCTTCTCTAGGCAAACCGAACTACTTATTTTTCCCTAAACAAAGCCTTCAAAGGCAGGGCATGCAAGGGGTACTCAGGTCAAACTACAAGAGACCATGTGCAAAACAGAATGCCATAGATGATTCACCTCAACTGTTGCCCATGAGCAACCAAGAAAGGACAGAACACGAAGTGGCAGGTTTGAGAGTCAGACAGATCGGGGACTGAGTCCCAGCTCTACCACTCACCAGCTCTGCATCCTACGACAGGTTTCTCAGCCTCACCGCGTCTGTTTTCTCATCTATAAAATGGGTACTTGCAAAGATAATAATGATCATAAAACCTAGTTCATAAGGTTGTTATGAGGCTCCCTTAGTGTGCCAGTACAAAGAAACCAGCGCAGCACTGGCACACTAAAAGAGCTCAGCAAAGATCACTTCTCCCCTCACACCGACGTCTCCTCGCCTCAGCAAAGCATTGTCCAGGAAAGCAAACTGCCTTAAAAAAGCCATCTAATAACTAGGGAGCAAACTGCCACTGCAAAGCCCCTCAGCTGGAAGAGGAAGCAAGTCCAGAACACAGACAAGCATCATAAGGACATCGGCAAACGCCAATAACCTCCAGCGAAAGCAGCACTGGAACCTGTCACTGAAACACGCTTCAAGGACACCTGGGTGCTGCTGAGTATAGTGCATCCTTGGGGAAGGACCACAGAATCAGGTCGCTAGGACTAGGCTCAGTGCTCTCCATACCTTTAATTCTCACAATAACCTGTGAAGCAAGTGCCATTATCCTCATTTTACAGTTGAAGACACTGGACTTCTGAGACAACTGAGAGACAGGACATTATTCAGTCAGATTGTGATCTCTGGATCCAGCACTTCCCAGTGCCTCCCATGGAGGAGGAAAGGGTGAATGCTGGGTTCTCGGAATTCAAGGCAAGCGTTTGAGCACAGCACTGGGGGACACAAATTAGTCAAGGGAGAATTCAACCAAAACCACACACAGGATCACGGGAGACATCCCTCCTCCCAGATACAGGAGCATATTCTCCGTGTTCCACACACATGGATCACTGGCAGGAGACATCCCTCCTCACAGATCCAGGAGCGTATTCTCCGTGTTCCACACACACGGATCACTGGCAGGAGACATCCCTCCTCCCAGATCCGGGAGCGTATTCTCCGTGTTCTACACACATGGATCACTGGCAGGAAACATCCCTCCTCACAGATCCAGGAGCATATTCTCCCTGTTCTACAAACATGGATCACTGGCAGGAGACATCCCTCCTGCCAGATCTGGGAGCATATTTTCCGTGTGCCACATACCTGGATCACGGGCAGGAGACATACCTCCTCCCAGATCCAGGAGCATATTCTCTGTGTGCCACATACACGGATCACAGAAGACATCCCTCCTCCCAGATCCAGGAGCATATTCTCCATGTTTACACACATGGATCACGGGCAGGAGACATCCCTCCTCCCAGATCTGGGAGCATATTCTCCATGTACCACACACACAGATCACAGGAGACTTCCCTCCTCCCAGATCCAGGACCACATTCTCTGTGTGCTACCAAGCGACATACTGTATGCCTTGACTGAGAAATATATGATACAAACAAATGTTAGAGAAAGGAATCCACTTCAGAGGGATAGCTTGAAAATTTTAAAAAGAAGAGACAGAAAGGAATCCACAATGACTAGGAAACTATTTTTGAGAAAGGAGAGAAAAAACCAAAATGTTGCCTATTTAAAACCAGGGCTGCCAAGGCAGGACAGCAGAGATGGTGAGTCACTGCTGTCCAGCAGAGATGGTGAGTCACTGCTGTCCAGCAAGCAGCTCCCCTTGAATTGATCTGAACACATTGACAGGGGCTTGCTTCAGAGATGCAGATGACTGTGACTGCAGGAGTGGGAGAACAAGCCCATTATTAGAATGCCTGGATGAGAAGCTCACTTCTCCCTTTTGTTGCAAAAAAGTTAGGAAGAAACCAGAACTCACCATTTGCTCTGATTTTTCAGCTTTGTCTTTGATATCTTTGATTTTGCCAAAGAGTTGCTGGATAGCTTTCTGAGCCTCTTCAAGTGCCTAGAGTAAGAGAAATACATGAAAAACAAAAACCAACTTGAGACAGCTGAACTGTAATCAATTCCAGGCACAAAAGAAAATTTCCATAAAGCTCTGTTGATTCATCGTACTTATGCCAACATTGTGTTTCCCGCATACAGGCAATTGGAACTCTTACCAATGTGCCTCACAAAGTTTTAATTTAAAACTAAATGATTCCCCTCTATCTCAGTGACTACTGTACATGTTATTGACAACAATAGGACATGTATATATCTGTGTGTGGCTGTGGGTGTGTGTGCAAGCACACATGTGCAGTTACCTTCAAAGACTCATACAGAGGGACAGAGATAGCTCTAAACTGGGGCGAGGGGAAAGCTCTGGACTTGGAAGTTCCAGAACGCTGTGCATTCAAAACACCTGGACAGTGAATGGGGACTCCAGAACTGCAACAAATCTTAAAGACATTTACAGTACCCCATTTGAAAACCAATGCAACAGAGTTAGAAAGGAATGTTTAAAGCTAACAGTGGCTTACACCTATAATCCCAGCACTTCAGAGGCTGATAATGCAGGATGACTTGAACCCAGGAGTTCAAGACTAGCCTGGGCAACATGGAGAGACTCGGTCTCTGCAAATAAAGAAAAAAAAAGTTAGCCAGGCATAGTGGTGCACGCCTGTAGTCCCAGCTACTCAGGAGGCTGAGGTGGGAAGATTACTTGAGCCTGGGAGGTCAAGGTTGCAGTGAACTGTGATCATGCCACTGCACTCCAGCCTGCTGACTGAGCAAGACCCTGTCTCAAAAAATGAACAGAAAGCTAATGGTGAGCCCAGTATTTCCACTGAAATAAAAACCTACAAAGATGGATGCTACACAATAAAAGTATTACAACCCCGCTGCAGCTTCTGCCAGGAGGGGAAGCAGTGAGTGCAGTTGTGAGAGAGCAAGCAGGCCACATACGTGTAGACCACATGTACCTGATTGTCTCGTGACTAAAGACTACCTACAGCTAAAGTGCTACTGTGAATTCCTGCAGCAGTTACAGTTCGAGGCACGAGTCAGCATCTCCTTAATTCACTCCTCAATCATTCCGTGAGTATTTACTGAATGTCTCCCACATACCAAGCATGACTCTAATCACTGGGAATCCAATGATGGGCAAGACAGTATGGTGTCTCTCTCTGTCAAGTAACGAACTGACTTTGAAAAGTAAGTAAGGGGGAGGAGATCCTGGAAAAACAACAAAACAAAGAAACAAGAAAATTCCCAAGTGTGACAGGTGATGAGAATAAGGGAGATGGTGGTCATGGAAGGTCTTCTGAAAAACGGCACATGAACCAGGACCTGTAGGACAAGGAGGTGTCAGAATTTGTCCATTTGGAGTAAGAGGATTTTCAGTAGAGGAAACAGCAAATGCAAAGATCCTGATAGAGAAAAGACCTCAGTGTTCTGGGCCAAAAAGGAAGACAGCAGGTGGTAGTGTAAAATCGCAGTGGGAAGGGTCTAGAAACAATCTGGAGAGGTAAGCAGCAGCCAGAGCATGGAGGGCCTCTGATCTAAGTGCAAATGAGAAGCCACTGAAGGTTTTACACAGGGAAGGACAGACAGTTTACTCATATGAAAGACTGTCCTGGCTGCTCTGTGGTGAAGGCACTGTGCAGAGGCAGGAGGGAAAGACCTGTGACAAAGCTGCTGCAGCTGTCCACATGAGCCAGTGGAGGTCTAGATGAGGCAGCCAGTGGTGATGGGAAGACGGGGAGGGATTCAGGGTTTCCAGGAAGGCATAATGCACAGGACTCACTGATGGACTGCATGTAGGTGATGACGGAGAGAGAAGTACCAAGCACTATTCCTGGGGTTTAGTTTGAAAAGCCAAGGACAGGGTGTACTGACTGAACGAGGGAAGACAGGAGGATGTCGGGCTTGACAGGCAAGTGTGTGTGGTACGGCTGGAATGAAGAGTCCGTCTGCAATGCGTTAAGGGTGCGTGGTCTGTGCTACGGCTGGAATGAAGAGTCCATCTGCAATGCGTTAAGGGTGCGTGGTCTGTGCTACGGCTGGAATGAAGAGTCCATCTGCAATGCGTTAAGGGTGCGTGGTCTGTGCTACGGCTGGAATGAAGACTCCATCTGCAATGCATTAAGGGTGCGTGGTCTGTGCTATGGCTGGAATGAAGAGTCCATAAGGGTGCGTGGTCTGTGTTACGGCTGGAATGAAGAGTTCATCTGCAATGCGTTAAGGGTGCGTGGCCTGTGCTAGGGCTGGAATGAAGAGTCCATGTGCAATGCATTAAGGGCGTGTGGCCTGTGCTAGGGCTGGAATGAAGAGGAGTCTATCTGCAATGCATTAAGGGTGCATGGACTGTGCTATGGCTGGAAAGTGTCCCCAAAGTTCATGTGTTGAAAACTTAATCCCCAGTGCATCAGCGTTGACTGGGGACCGTTACGAGGTGATTGGGTCACAGGGGTTTGCCCTGGTGAGTGAGTGAATGGCATCATCTCAGGAGTGGGTTATTGTCAGAAGGGCCCTGTTCAGCCACTTTCTCAAGCGTGTGCACACTTTCCTGCCCCTCCACCTCTGCCACAGGATGCTACAGTAAGAAGGCCCTTGCCAGATGCGGGCCCCTTGACCTTAGACTTCCGATCCTCCAGAATTCTAAGAAACAAATATTTTCTTTATAAATGATTCAGTGTGTACCATTCTGTGATGGTAACATAACACAGACTAAGAAAACTGGTATCAAGAAGTGGGCTACTGCTATAATAAATACCTGAAAACGTGGCTTTGGAACTGGGTAATGAACAGATGCTGGAACAGTTTTGAAGTGAATGCTGGGAAAGTCTGTACTGCTGTAAACAGAGTGCCAAGGGTGATTCTGCTAAGGGCTCAGAAGAAGAAATGGAGAGAAAGTCTGGAATTTCTTAGAAATTACTTAGTGGTTGGGACCAGAGTGTTGATAGAAACAGAGACAGTAGGCTGGGGTGGGGGCTCACTCCTGTAATCCCAGCACTTTGGGAGGCCGAGGCGGGTGGATCAACTGAAGTCAGGAGTTCGGGACCAACCTGGCCAACATGGTTAAACTCCATCTCCACTAAAAATACAAAAATTAGCTGGGTGTGGTGGCATGCACCTGTAATCTCAGCTACTTGGGAGGCTGAGGCAGGAGAATTGCTTGAACCTGGGAGGCGGAGGCTGCACTGAGCTGAGATAGCACCATTGTACTCCAGCCTGGACGACAAGAGCAAACTCTATCATCCTTGCAAAAAAAAAAAAGATACTTTGAGATCAAGTAGAGATATTAAATTGGACGTAAGACTCTGGAGCTTGGAAGAGAGGTAACAGGTTGTGGTTTAAATTTAGAAGTCATTACTTTAGAGATGGTATTTCAGTCTGTAAGATTAGAAGAAGTCATACAGGAAGAGAGACTAGACAGAGAAGAGAAGACAGCATGAGGCTAACCCTTGGGCACTCCAATATTCAGAAGGCTAAAATGAAAAAGCAGCAGAGATGCAGAGAAAAACCATCAGTGACATGAGCAAGAATCAGGGACTATGGCTGTTACAGAAGGCAAACAAAAGTGTTTGGAGGAGGAGGAGGAAAAGAATGATTGTCTTCTGTTGTTAAAAACTCATATAAGGCCGGGCATGGCAGCTCACGCCTGTAATCCCAGCACTTTGGGAGGCCAAAGTGAGGAGACGGCCACGTCAGGAGTTTGAGACCAGCCTGGCCAATATGGTGAAACCCCATTTCTACTAAAAATACAAAAATTAGCTGGGCGTGGTGGTGTGCACCTATAATCTGAGCTACTCAGAAGGCTGAGGCAGGAGAATAGCTTATACCTGGGAGGTGGAGGTTGCAGTGAGCCAAAATCGCACCACTGCACTCCAGCCTAGGCGACAGAATAAGGCTCCATCTCAAAAAAATAAAAACCCATATAAGACGAAGACAGAGAACTGCTACAATTTTGACAACAGGCAAGTTGTTGGTGATCTTGACAAGAGCAGTCTCAGGGTAGTCACGGGAACGAACAGCGATGATGTGATGAAGGAGAGGCCATGGTAACAGAGCAGATGCCAGCAAATGATGGCCTGCGAGCTGAAGCCGGTCTGCCAGCTGTTTTTGTAAATAATATGTTTTTGGAACACAGCCAAACTCATTCGTTTAAATATTGTTTATGGTGACTTTTGCCACACAATGGCAGAGAAATCGTTGCAACAGAGACCATACAGTCAGTAAAGGCTAAAATATTTATTATCCAGCCCCTAACAGAAAGCTTGTTGACCTTGGTATAGACTCTGTTTTCAGGAAATGTTTTCTATAAGAAGAGAAGAAAAATGGGACAACAGGTGGGGTAAAGGGAGCAATTTTTAAAGATGAGAAATGCTTGCACACATCTGTTTGGGAATGATACGGCAGAAGGGAAATTTATTTGGGGGTAATGGGTTAATTACAGAGAGGATTTTTTAAAACATGGATGTTATCAAATTGTTTAGGGCAGGGTCCCCAGGCCCTGGGCCATGGGCCAGTATGGGTCCCTGGCGCGTTAGGAACTGGGCCGCAGAGCAGGAGTGAGTAGCAGGCAAGTGAGTGAGCATGACAGCCTGAGGTCCGCCTCCTGTCAGTCAGTGACAGCATTCAATTCTCATGGGAGCCTGAACCCTACTGTGAACTGCACACACAAGGGATCTGGGTTGTGTGCTCCTTAACAGAATCTAACCAATGCCTGATTATCCAACCTAGAACACTTTCATCCTGAAACACTGTCCCTCTCCCTGGTCCATGAAAAAGTGTCTTCCAAAAAACTGGTCTCTGGTGCCAAAAAGGTCAGGGACCACTGGTTTAGTGTATAAGTACTAGCCCTTTAGCAGGGTTACAAGTATCTTCTAGAATGGGGACCAAGGATATGAACAGCATCCCTGCATGTCCCATAGCTAAGCCAATCCTCCATTTGGTTTACCGGGGACAGGCTGAGTTTATGATCCGGTATAATTAAGAGCTCCCTCTCCTTCTCAAAGTGAC